TCGGCGAATCGATCGTCGTGGAAACCCCATCGACGTATCGCGAATGAGAAGTTATGGTCCTCCGGCAGAGAAATGTGCGGAAATAATGCAAAAGGACTCCCCGTTTCCATCAGCCGTTCGCTCCTCGTCGCGAGGAAAGAAAGATAGGAGAAACGGACGTTCCGAAAAGCCGAGCGACGACTGCCGTCGGCCTCTCGTGCCTCTTCACGCGTTAATGGGAACCCTACTTGAAGCTACGTACGGCGGAGAGGCAAATGGAAAAGGCGTACCGAGTCGGGATGAAAGAAAAGAAAGGGAAAGGAGAAAGAGAAAAGGTGGCTTTCAATGAGCAGGCATTGAGGCCAATGAATGGCGCCTTGATTGGAAAGGTTCTCCTTCCCTTCCCTCCGCGTATATACTTTATATATGAAAAGGGCAGAAGGAGGAAGAATTCAATCATTTTCCCCATTGTCGAGATTGAAATCGAGTAAATTTCGTTTTCTCCGGCGGATCGAGATCGTTGGCAGGCAACGATCCCATTTAGTCTCCAATATTCTCGGCTCCAGAAGGGAATCGGGACCGAGAGGAAATGGAGATCGGAATGGAATCGGGACTGAGGGTGCCCGGATATGCCATGGCGGTGCTCGTTAGAGCTCCTCGTTTGGTTCGTTAGCACGTGATACCGCGAAGGCGGTGTCTTCGGGTTGACATCTTCTCGACCGAGACGAATCGCGCCATTTCACTCGCACATCGAAATAGTCACGGATATGGATTTCTCTCGCGGAGCTCTCGAAAGTGGTGCCCGTCCGGTTCGCCGTCGTTCCTCCGTTTGGGACCCCCGCCGTTTCCCACAGGTCTTCGAAGAAGAAATTCCACTCGCCTTCCCTCGCTCCTCCCGTCGTCCTTTCGCAAGTCCGGTTTCGCGCTCGAACGCGAAAGCGGTCGAAAGTCGCGACGGGGAATTCGCCTCGCGACGTCGTCTCGGACGCGATCGAGGCAGAAGCAAAGGGCATCGATGGGGAAAGTCCACAAATACTTCTTTCCCTTTTCCTCGCTTTCTCTCGGCTTCCCTACGGGGAAGATAAAATTGGTCGGAAACTTTTTGGATCGATGAGGCCGAGCACCGAGGTGTTGGGGGAAACCCCCCTGCCCCTCTCACCCCCCTGCCCCTCTCACCCCCCTGCCCCTCCCCCCCTGCCCCCTCACTTCTCCTTTCTAAATCACACCATTTCTCCTCACTCTCCTCCTCTGTCACGTCGAGAGTCTCATTTCAGGGCGCTTCGAGTGGGCCGCGATGGAACGAGTGCCATTCAAACTTACTTTAGTAGAATCGTGAGAAAGTAGGATCGGAGGAAGCATATTCACACATGTTTCGGGCAAACCGATGCGTAAGTGTCCTGGGAACTTTTCAATAAATACACTTCAGTAAATGTATCGGTACGAATGACTTAAATCTGATGAGCATATTACCAGTATTTAATTTAAAAAATATGACAGTCGCCATAACTTTCGCGCATGAGGAAATAATTAAGAAAGCGAACCGAAAAGCACGAAATTTCTATTGGATTCATGTGATTCCCTGTCTTTTTTTAACTGGCAGGTTTTCATCCTCGAGCCGAAATTTTACCGAAAGATGGTCGAAAGTCCCGGACAACGAGGCAAAAATTACTTTTCCATCTCGGCTGTGTTTTAAAATAAGTCTCCGTTTCCTAAGAAAGAGTTCGGGAAGTCGATTTCCGCAATTCGAGGGCTTTGTTGCCGAGTCTGTTTCCACGGCTGTGTTTTTTTCGCGAACGGCCAGAGATGTTTACGACCGAGAGGCGATGTCGATGGGGCCGAGAATGCGCGAAATGCGATTCCTCGAAGGAAAAGTGGTTTGCGAAATCCGGGGCACTTCGAGGCTCTCGTCAATTCTTAAGAATGCCACGGGAGCCTTTAAGGGCCTCGGAGCCTTAATCGCGTTTCGAATCCTTCCGAGAATTCTCGGAAAGGCCGGAATACGATTGCATCGCTCGACTGGAGCTCGCTCCTCGGTGCGGTTCGACGATTCGCGCATTTCGGCGGGGATCGAGAAGAAGATACGTCTTGGTTCGAATTCACTCGGCCGTATCGAGAAGGAGAAGATTAGGGAGACCGAGAGAGTTCGGCTTCGCTGCTTTCCCGGATGCGGTTATCGCAACACCAAAAGCCATTCATGGATCGATGCCGAGGTATCATCTCTCATCTCTCATCTCTCGTATCTCATCTCTCATCTCTCGACTCTCATCTCTCGTATCCCATCTCTCATCTCCAGCGGTTATGCTTACGAAAAAGTCCTGTAAGATCCTATGAGTTTTTTATGCTTTAAAAAACCTTTTAGGATTCCTCTAGATTTTCTGTTTCGGGTCACCTGTCGCATTTTAGACGTAAAGAGACTCTGGCTTTGCATATTTCATGCATATCATGCGGATATGCATGCATCCTTGCATCCTTCTGGATGTGTCCATCTTTCAAAGATGCCTCTCGTTTGAGAGTGACAAGCGAGCAAACGAGAATAACATTATCGAATCCCAATGGAATACAAACGCGATGGATCGTCGATGTCGAGAAATTCCTGAAATCTGAACATCTAACGGATTTTTGCCTGNTCGCGGCCCACTCGAAGCGCCCTGAAATGAGACTCTCGACGTGACAGAGGAGGAGAGTGAGGAGAAATGGTGTGATTTAGAAAGGAGAAGTGAGGGGGCAGGGGGGGGGGGGGAGTTGCAAAACGTGAACCAACACCGCAGATTTACAGTTTATTAAAGTCTCTCCCCACCTCCCCGTCCCCTTCTTTTAATTATAAAGGCTCCTAAAAATTAGAACTTGTCAAAGGTGGACCATAATAAACTTAGGTGAATATAAATGTGTAAAATTCAAGGTCTAATAATGTGCTCAATTACATATTCAGCATATCAAAAAGACCCCAAAAAGTTATTTATTGTGGCATATATTATGCAAATTCCTTTCACTTCGCATTGAAATCGTTCCCTTCAAATTCGTCCCTCTCCGAGTTCATCGACTTCTCGCAGAGGGTGGACGATCGTTTCGTTTGAGTGCAGAGGCGGTCCTTTGTCGAGATCCGCTGCGAACTCGTGGCATTCACGATTGCATCCCGATGAATCCGATTCCACACGACGTGGACTCGAGCCGCAGATAGAGAAACGAGCGAGATGGTGCCAAGTCTGCTGAATGGGGCGGATGAGTGATAGCGCCGATTCAGAGGCGTGCCAGGGAGTCCAACGCAACGAGTGACGCATGTGCGACGCGTTTTCGTGCTGCAGCGACCGCGAGGGTGGACGACGGGCGTTCGCACAACTTCGCTTTCGAGAGACGACGTCACGGTTCCCTTGAAAATAATCCCCTTTTGAGTATGTCACCGCGGAGGGAATGATGCCTCTGCCAAAAAGAAACTTCTCGGCAACTTTTTAATAGGCTTTTATATATCGATACGTTACTGTTACACCTTTTTTTCCCATTCCTTTTTTCTCCAGGAAAAAAAATTACTCAAACGAGGTCGGGGCCTCGACAGAAATAACACGGATCGATCGAAGCGCGTTTCTGATGAGGTATCGTAATGCATGAATTTTATCGGATATACCAAAAGCTAATGTTTCAGGCAAAAATCCGTTAGATGTTCAGATTTCAGGAATTTCTCGACATCGACGATCCATCGCGTTTGTATTCCATTGGGATTCGATCATGTTATTCTCGTTTGCTCGCTTGTCACTCTCAAACGAGAGAGTTCTTCACCCACCATTATCTATTCCTCTTTTCCTATGGGATGAATCTGATCGTGCGGAATATGCTTAGCCTGGAGCGAACACAATCCCGCCTCTCTCGTTTGAGTCGCGGCACCTCGGTCGCCCTCCTTCCTTCCCAAGGGAAGGGGACTCTCTCTCTCTGGACCTTCTCTTTCGCTTCCGGATTCCAGGCGGCTGGCGCTCGTGGAGGCCGGTCTCATCCGGTCTCATCCGGTTTCGCTTGTGCTTTCCGAGGAACTCAGAAAATTGACTCGACCGTGCTAGACTCGGAAAAAGTTAAAGAAAATCCGTCATATTAATGGTAATGATGATGTTCCTTTGCCGCGAAAAGATTACTAGGACGGGGAGAGAGATAACAGGGAGTCTTGGTAAATGATATTAAAGGGATGGGGAGGAGGAGAAGAAGAAGAAAAAAGTGCCACAAGGGAAATCAAAAAATGAAGCCCGAGAACCCTAGCCATGACGACGGACCATTTTTATCCCTCTATTCTTTTTTCATTCTTTTTTCTTCATTCATGCAGGGATTTCTTCTTCGCATCGATGAATCCCCATCTCCTTCATGCTATAAGAGGCAATTATGCAGGAATTTTGTAGAGACGGGGCGCTAAATGAGCGGAAGAGATATGGAAGGGAGAGTGGGCATGCATAGAGTAGCATGGGATGGAACCCATTCCTATAAAAGGGCGTGATTTAACGACTTTTCCTCCCCGAAATGGAACATGGAAGTAATGCCCCCCTTTGGCCCGTTTCCTGCCCGGTATTGTTATATTTATGTATCAGAGACCTCGACTGCAAGGGATCCGGGACCGAGAAACCCAACCACGCTGATCAATGAATGCATCTGAGACTCCCCCCTTTCCTTCCTTGCCTCCTTGCTTGCCGTAAGAATAAGAGCGAAGAATCGGGAAAGAACTTTTCCAGACCTTCGCGTGAGATTGACGTAAGTAAAGTCGAGGCTGATGAAAATATTCACGAAACAACGTTTTAATTCGTCAGGCACGATAAGTGCTTGTGGGTATAATAGTCAACTCATTCAAGTGAGCTTTCAGATTTTTTTTGCATCTATTTGAGCATAAAAGAAAAAATAATTGAGCTAGGGATAAGGGAGAGAAATGAGAAGGGGAAGAAAGGAGGGCGGTAAAAGGGCGCATGCGTTGCCTTCTCCCTATCCCTCTCATGGACATAAAGGCGTAGCGTCTTGCGTGTAGGTTCATGTATGCTTCGGTTGAGGTATCGAGGATGACGGTGTTCCGCGTGAACGAGGATCTCCTCCAGCGATGGCTCCAGGACACTTCCACGTCTACGAGAATCGTGAGAAGTACAAGTGTGACAGGAGAAGATCATGTGACTCCCCTGTGGGGAGAAGTAGAGCCTTCCTTCGACAACGATACCTCGGACCCTTCCAATGACACTCTCCTGCTCAATGTCACACAATCCATATCCGAAGATGAAGTTCTCGGAGGATCCAAACATTATTATTTCCTCGTGCTGTTGGTGTTTTCCGTGTTTACCGTGTTCGGGAATGTGTTGGTCATCCTCAGCGTGGTCAGGGAAAGGACTTTACAAACTGCTACCAATTATTTCATCGTCAGTTTGGCCGTCGCCGACCTATTAGTCGCTGCTGTCGTCATGCCCTTCGGCATCTACTTCCTTGTGAGTACTTTCTTTTTCGAACCTATTCTTCTTATTCATTCCTCTCAACGGATGAGGAGTCGGAGCCTTGAGACGCATTCATTCACAGGGGCATTTTCTTGCAGCGATTTACGTTTCAGATCTTGAATGAAATTGCTTCTGTAAATCATTGAATGCTTGGAAAACTCCCCGCGCATCACAGCATGGAGATAGAAATGACAAAGAGGTCGCAGGTGTGTACGGTAGCTGTTTCAGGATATCTAGATCTTCGTTAGCTTGCTAGCTCGGATGGTTTCCCGGAAACCTTGCCACGATCCCTTGTCAGTGGCACGATGCACTCTCATTTCTCAGAGCTTGGCTATATTCCCAATGACATTGAATGATTATTTTATTTCCTCATGATAAATCATCCAGTGAAAGATGTTTAAGTATCAGATGCTCTTCACGCAGACGGCATTGTTGTCTGGAGATACAGGCCCATCCTTGTTAACGAAAGATCTCGGATGAATAGGAAGGAAAGATCAATGGATCAAGCGAGCTGCACTCAGGGTTCTGTCATAAAGGGCGAGGTGAGGAGAGGTTATGTACAGACACCAGAGTCGTGTTATCGGAGAAGGACCCCGGCCTCCGCATCGTCATCAGTCAAATGGGAATGGACGTATACTGTAGATAGGGACTCTCCCTCTCTCTCTCTTCTCAACACGAAAATGGAGGAGAGGTCTTTGTCGACTCCAAATGGATCTTCGATCCTCTCCTCACTCGATTGACTATTTTCCCCCTTCCGAAGTCCTCAGGATGATTCATAAACCTCGGTTCCTATCCCATGGCGGCGCAGTTCAGCACATTATTATTTCCCCTAGCACTAATCCCAAATAATGGACTTCCCAAAACTTCTAATCCCTTCTCGAGACCTTGGATAATGAAGATTTTTAGAGAGAAAATTCATTTGCTTCGTCGAGTCATTGGGCGCTTGCAACTCTCAAGATTGGGCTTGCTCTTATATGTGGGTCAGCTTCTGCCGTACATTATCCATGGGTACAGGGCCGAATGATCCATCCGGTTATAATGGGATTGTGAGTGAAGGATTGACACTAGTATAAGGTCTAGGGCAAGGGCTTTTACGGCGCCATAAATTCGGGTCATAAACCCTTATCCAATTTCTCAACACCACATCCAGAGGGACATTATCACAGAGTTGCAGCCTCCTTTCTCGGGGCGACACATAGGTCTGTCTGTATGACCTGAATGAAAGCTTTTCTTCTTTTGTTTTCTGCGTGACGCTTCGAGATTCCCTTTAATAGGCAGGCCCTATAACGCCTCCATATCTGGTCAATCACTTTGTGACGATAAAATCGCCATGTATGCACGGAAACATAAGAAGGGGACAAAGGATTTGTTAGCATTAGTCTACTCGGTTACGGGATTCGATCGCATGACTTGCTTTGAAAAAATGCAATTCGATTAATCGCATTTGAAAGAGCTTGAGAATCCTGCGATTCAGTCAAGAAAGTAGGTACATGAGCGAATGTGTGATTTAAATTATCGGATCGCCATTACACGATACGCGCGCTGAAAGAAAGCCTGAAAGCAATGCAAAAATATGGTCCCCTCCCGTAGCGAGGTCGACCGGCAGATTTCTGTGGCAGGAATCGAGGTTTAGGCTTGTCTCGGAAAGGCTGCAAGGCAATATTGTGGGAGGCTCACAGGAATGGAAGAAAAGGGGGCTAAGAGAACAAGGGAAACAGGAGGACTTTTTTTTCCCCGTGGAGAGTGTCCAGGGATTGATCAATGGACCATCCCACGACACAAATCCACTTCCACGTACTCACTCACACGTTCCACGTTGGCTGGAGTGGGAAATGAGATGAAGGCCCGTTTCTCCTACGTCTTCCTTCTGGTCTGGTCTGTCTTTCCTTGAACAACAAGTAGAAGATGTATCTCGGTGGCATTTTTCCAATTTCTCATCGATTATCCCTTTCCTCTTCGTTTCTCTTTATCCTCTCTGTTGCGTCTGCACCTACGTAGAAAAAAACGAGCGAGAAGGGATCTATCTCTTGGAGATATGTGTTTATCAGAGAGAGATGACGTTCTGCAACAAGGATGAGATACACAATAATTCTTTCCTGCAGCCTACTCCCTACAGGAAAGTTATATATATCCGAGGCACAGCAATTAATTCTGGATGAGCTGCAGAATTGGCCAGGGTTTCGTAGGAGATCGTACTGTGATCACCAGGAGAACGGAGGCGAATTATGAGCAGAAGTTAGCTGTCCCATGAAAGGAGTCACGTCACAGCTCATATCGAATAACGGCAGATCATGTGTCAGGCCTAGTCGTATTTCAGCCTGCATGGAGAAACGTGCATGGTGAGTGGATGGGAAAATTCAATTGGGAATAGAATAAAGCCGTCGGAGTGCCGACGGCTGGCCGATGCATTCGTCGTCGCGAGTCCAGACTCGTCTAGCGACAGTCCTGGGCTGCTTTGGCCTCTGAGGTGCCGGCTGGAATGCAGAAAGAGTCTTATGGGTGAACGTGACGGGCATCTCAATGAGAACACCTGCTAAAGCCCAAGATCCGTCCCCGTACGCGTCTCTTGCATGCAGCACCGTTCTCTAGCCATTTTTCTTTCCTTCACTTTGGATGTGGAACTTCCAGAAACATCTATCTCCGGATTATGGTGTAACCGGCAAAGTTTCCCGGGGATGGGAAGATAGATTATGAAAGAACTGAGAAGAAAAAAAAAAACGAAAAAGGGGAGAGAAATTCTGTATGGGAGACAAGACTTGATCCCCTAAATGAGAAAGCTTCATGGGATTCGAAACACGTCCTTCCCTTAAAAGATCCACTCTTCTTTTTCTCTCTTCCCCGTTCTCCACTCTAGAGGGATTAGTCGGGGGCATGGTTATAGACCCTCATGCATGCATGCATAGAATTTGAAGGAAGCGTCTACCTGAACCTTCTCGGGCTGACACCTTCTGAAAAATCCTCTCTTCTTTTCCAACTCACTTCCGTCTCCCTTCTTCCATCATCATTATCTCCTGAAGCCTGGTGCTTGGGTGTCCCCTTACTCTGCAGTCTCTCTATAGAGAAGATACAGCAAATTAGACTTCGATAATTGGGCTCCAGCACAAAGCCTTCTCCCAGGGCAACGTCTTTTGTCCGTCTCTTTTTCTTTCTTTTCCCTCCCCTTTCCCATTCGATCGGGTCATGTTCTATGGTAATGTTTCCCCGAGCAGAGCTTCTCCTAAATTACGACTCAGAATCTCGGAGAGGGATTTCCTATGGACGTTTCGAAAGTATTCCTCTATATTCCGCTACCGGACTTAAGGAGGCTTTGCTTTGCATTTAATTAACACCTTATTCTGGTCTCCTTCGAAGCCACGAAAGGTCCCATAGACTTTCTGGGGATCTATTGCTACGTCTTCCGAGGAAACCTGGCAAATGAATGCTTTTTTGCTTCGTCTGTGAAGGCATCTAACCTTTCCCAAAGCCATTTACAGAAGGGGAAGGGACTACATGTACATCTAATGCGCCCACGCATTCTCTGCCCAATTTTAGACATACAAACACGGGAGAATCTAAAAAGTCGGTTTCTTAAGGTCTTAAGGGTCTGCTTCCCTCTTGCCCTCGGTATTCCTCATCATTTGTCAACGTTCGAAAGCTTGAGATGCGAAAGACAAGTTAAGTCCCATGTTCCTCGACGTCATCCTGTGAGGGGTCACTACGGTTGACGTCAATCTCAGATTATGGCGGGAAAAAATGCTATAATCTGGTAATCTAGAATATCCTTTTTCACAATGATTCTCGGGAGATCTTCCTACGATGACGAATCCCCCAGAGGATTCGCATCCGTATGGGATGATGAACTTCGGGAAGTTAAATAGATCGACCTGTGAGCCGAGGGAAAGGGAATTGCTGCAATTCCAGCTTTTCTGACTCGTCTAGACGGTTTCCTTTCACTCCTTGTATGGCGTTTACAAAGACGTGTCGGCTTTAATTCTATTCCATTCCATTCACGATGGCTCAAGAGCGAGAGAGATGAAGAGAGAGAGAGAGAGAGATGTGAAGGTGATCTTATTTATTAATATAAGACGGAAAGGAAGACGGGTAATTTCGAGTTGACAGCTGATCTAGCGAATCGAATTTTGCAAGTTCCACAGCCAAAGAAATAATGGAAGGAAAGGGAAGAGGTATTCCTTCATTTCCTTCGGCATCTTCCTTGATGTCCCCATCATCATTTAACACGGCTGCGTGCAGTGGTGCTAAAATGAGAAGTTCCTGTTTCATTGGGTGAATTCCTTTTATTCGAGCGGAAGACCATGTTCGATCGTGGATGGGAATCTGTCCTGTGGATGTTTCACTTCGGAGCAAGAGCGTTAATCTGACAGGAAAACTGATCGCTGCGTTCTGCAAAGTCATTCACCTGAGCGTTTGTTTAGTGTACGCACTCTGGATCCAAGAGGAGAACTTCGCAAGCTGAATTCCCTAAATATGGTTACGATGTGAGGGATTATCGCAATCGTTGGAGAAATGCGAAAAATAAAGTAAAAAAGGAAGAAGATGGTCGATGCAAAAAAACTGCGAAGAGAGGGAATGTGACCTTGAGATTTATCGTCTAGGCAGTAATTCTTTTAAAACTCATACGGACTGCATTTGCCTGATAAACTGTCTGAGTTTCTTCGTCTGGATTCTGTAAAACGGAGACACTACGCTCCCTTTGGACCAGGGATGAAACCCAGATGCATCGCTGTTCACTCTCATCGCTCCATTCTGTTTCTTTCATTCCATGTGCCCCTCTGAATGTGGCTTCGATCATGCGGGTTCAGCTGAATCGTATTGGATGCCTGATAACTTCGAAAAAGAATGCTTTGCAAACGAATGACTTGGTAAAGCGCAGGGTGTCCGTTGACCCTTGACACACCCCCTCCCCTTCTTTATTTTCTTGTTCCAGATGAATTAGGGTTAGGATTTGTGTAGATATGAGTGACAGCAGCCCTTTTACGCTAGAAAAGCGTTTAGTGATGAGTTTTTGAGTGGATGAGCGCCAACAAAGTGGAATAAACATGACACATTTGTTTGACGACTTTCAAGCCCGATTTGGCAAGAATCCTCGATGAAATGTTTCAACGCACCTGGCGCCGCATCAT